GAAGTGGTTTGCCAGAGCCTCCTTCCTAGAGCAGAGCCCAGCTGGTGAGCGCAGGAGGAGGGGTTTCCCCATATATGGGACCTGCTTACAGCGCCCTTGTACATTTGCAGCAAGTTGAACTGACCTTGGGTGGCAACGAGAGAAGCATTGGTCAGGCACCTGAGGCCCAGGACTGACCAATCTCAGAGATGGTATAGTAGCATGCTGACCCAGTAGGAAGGGATAAATAACAAGAAGGCCATCCAGATGGGTTGATCAAAAAATTCCAGCGTCATGCTGTACTTTACCCTGTGTCTGCCTTTTCCTTTGTCTTGTTTTTGCAACGTAGTAGGCCAAGGGTATAGAAGCAATGGGTCTGCCTTTGCTCGGGGCTGAAAGTGCCACAGCTTTGCTGGGAGACAGATTGTAGATAGATAGATAGATACTGTTTAATGATTGCATGCTAATAAAATTATGTTGCATCTTTAAAGCAGTCTGGTTGCTTTTGGCGAGCTGGGTTTTGGCCATAACAGTTTGGTGCCATGGCTCGGATTGGAAGGATGAGGGGGAGGCAGTCCATCGCTTCTGTGGCGCTCCTGCCCCTTTGCAGGCTTAGGGTTTCCGCCAGCTCCCTTTTCCTCTCCGATCCCGAACCCGTTTGAAGGTGCCTTGGGGAATTTTAATTTGGCCAGGGAGGTGTTCACTCTGGGAGAACCCTGCTTCTTTCAAGTATAACTTTTGCTTTCGTAGAGCGTTACGGGGAATACCGTGGCTTGTACTTTTTCGATCTTTGTAGGCATAGACGCATCACAGCATCTGAGCATCTTTTCCAAGGCCTTCTTGGCTGCTCGGCTGAGGGCTGATCCGCGGCATATTTCTTGACTGTATGTTCCTTATTGATGGTTCATCCTAAAAGGCAGAAGCTCTCCACCACTACATGTTATAGGGGGAAGGAAGGGTGAGCCACTAAAGAAGGACTTGAAGCGATTACACAGGAAATGTGAGAAACTCAAAATAACTTTGTCTAGTATAAGACAGAGCAGAGTCTAACTTGGATAGGCTTTCAGGGTTTGGTTAATATATTCTACAACAGGGTTTCTCAACCTCAGCGACTTTAAGACGGGTGGACTTCAACTCCCAGAATTCCCCAGCCAGCATG